CTAGCGTACGGGGAGCTGCGGAGGGCTCCCTGATACAAGGCGAGGAGGGTGCGCTCATCGGCCCCCTCAACTTCTTCGGTCTCCCTCGCCCTCCGATCAATGAATGACCGGAGGGACTCATCATGCTGCTGCTTGACGGAGAGGAGGTGGGTGAAATACTTCTTCGCATGCTTCCTCCCGGCAAAGTGGGTGAGGAAGCGTTGGGCAAGATCCTGCCATGAGTCGATGCTCCCTTCGGGAAGCGCGTTGAACCACTCGTACGCTGGCCCATCGAGAGTAGAGAGGAACCAACGGCAGAGGTATTCGTCTGACGCGTTCACCATCAGCATGTTTTTCTGATAACGGCTGAAATGTTCCTGGGGGTCTGATCGGCCGTCGTAGGACTTGATGGCGTTTCCCCTGTACTTCTCCGAGATGGGAGCCCAGAGGACCGTGTTGGTGAAAGGGGTCCTGGTCCTGACCTGGATGATGGGGTCACCTCGCCCCTCGGGTAACTCCCTCTCCAGGGCGCTGACTTTGTTCATGAGCGCGTTGAGGCCGGGGTCGTTGGAGGCGCCGGCCGTAGGGATGTTGGCCGACTGCTTGGCCTCCATCTGAGCCAGCCTCCTTTCCAGCTGGGCGATGACCTCGTCCCGGGGGTCCCTGGCTGCCGCAGCGGCGCCCGGCTGGTTCCTCATGCGCTCGTCGTGAGCCGCATTGATATGGTGGCGCACGCCGTCCTCGTGCAGCTTCCCCTTGCCCTTGTCCGGGCGGGGCTGGTCCGCTGTTCGGGACACAGACCCCAAGCTTTCCCTTTGCGAGCCAGGCCGACGCTCACCAATCCGTCCTGCCATCCTCTCCGAAACCGGACGACGGCGCGTGTCACCTAGCCTATTGAAGGCAGAGGCTTTTCCACGCGCTGGGGTCTGCCCAGGACGAAGAGGGGAAGCGGGGTGGGAGTGGGACGACGCCGTGTCCTGGGTCATCACCCCTCATCTTTGCCTATCTGGACGGCCAACGGTTGGGGCTGAGGAGGTGGAGTGACGTTCCCCCGGTCCTTGGCAAGAGTGCGCTGAGGACGGTGGGGTTCTGGGCCAGGCTGGCGATGATGACCGACAGCGCGGCCTGGACCTGTGGATCCACGGACGGAGAGGCCGCGGCCATAGGCTGGGCCGGGGCGTGGTCCGTCTTCTCAGCTCGTTTCTTATCCAAGCCGAAGCGGGCATCAGGGGCTCCGCCGTTGAGTTGGTTGCGGAGGTCCGTCGTGAGGTTGAAGGCCTCCTGGAAGACGTCCCCTCCGCCGACCTGGTCGGCCGTGGCATCCTCCTCGTGCTCCCTGGCCTCTTGGTCCTCAGGGATGGCCTTGCTGATGAGGTTGCGGTTTGATTTAGTTCTTCCCATGATCAGTGGTTAGCTGTGCTTGGTAGCGACGAAGGGTTCTAACTTGATTGTTCTAACTCTCAACGAGAGCACCAAATGATAGAGTATATCTAGGGAGAAGTGAGAGCTAGAGAGAGAAGTGCAATAATATGCTTCAATAGAATGAATTTGTAACCCCTATAACTACTCCCAAGGGGAGTATTTATAGAGAAAATACGGGCTGGGCTCCCAAGCCTTGGGCTTGGGAGGCCCATTTACAACTGGACCGCTACTGGGCCGAATACAAAGCCATTAATGGGCTGTACAAATGAGTAAGTGTAAAATCCGGTTCTGTGAGGTCTTCGTGGCCGACGAGGGCGTGGCCGACGAGGGCACGGCCGACGAGGGCGCGGCCGACGAGGGCACCCGGGTTCCTTGGATTTAGGACCATATTCTGAGTTGGTACCTTTCCGGCCGACGGGGGTCCCTTGGCCGACGAGGGCACCACTCAGTGTCTTGTGCTTTCTGTTCTTCTGAGTATGTGGGTCCGGGGGCTCAGACCCATATACTCCATCACTTTAATATTCTTCCTTGAGTATTAATTAATTCCTATTCATATTTCATGTAATATTTTAAGCATTACTTAAAGTATCAACTAGTATTGTTTCTCATATTAATTATTACTAGAATTGATCAGTTAATACGCTTGTTATTAATCCGGTTCTTTCAACGGTAGTAAACTTGGAATATTAATGCATGCATCTCATGGTTAATATGCCAAGGGGAATTAATTATATTGATTAAACCAATAAACCGCTTGTGTTGAGGTTATCAATCTCAATCGTTTTCATCTTAAGTTTATTGCTACAATCAAGTTATTATACGGCGCTTGTTCTATATTGACTCGATATTAAGTTTTATTAATGAACGCATCTCGTTATTAATAACTACCCTCGATGAACTGGATATACTCCTCGATTGAGTATTCGAGAGGAAGATAGTTAAAGATATAACCGGGATCGACAAACATTTCATTAAGTGGATAAAAGCAAAACCAAGTCCTCATCTCATTAAATTAAACTCATATAGGTTGTTCATCTTAGTGTTTTTAAATCAAACAAATCTAAACCCCCCTTGTTACTACTTGTATAGAAGAAAAGTATTCCTTTCCTTGTGGATACGAACCTTACTTCACTATACTACGTATTAGTGTTGTATTGTAATTATTTTGAGTGCACCTCACGACAAGTGCACGTCAAATTTGGCGCCGTTGCCGGGGAAAGGCAATTAATTTTTCTTTTATTCCATTTCAAAAAAAAAGAAAAAAAATCAAAAAAAAAAATATTAAACAAAAATATAAAGAGTGTTTATTTTCTGAGCTTAGTGGAGTTTATGGTTAAACATCGTTCCATAAACGAAATCATATATCACAAAAACCCAGAAATAGAACAAACTTTCGAGCGGTTGAAAAGTAAATTTTCTAATACCGACTCGGAAGAATCATCTACCAGAGATTCATACACCGCTAGCTCTAGCTCTAGCGAATCCGAAGAGTCTTTTCACATGGCTCTCGAAATGAGAACATTGAGGGAGCTCACAGCTCCAGACCTCAACCAACAACCGATATGTATCACCTTCCCTACTCTTGATGAAGGTGCTACATTTGAGCTCAAATCGGGGCTCATCCATTTGCTTCCTTCATTCCATGATCTACGGGGCGAGGACCCAAACAAACATCTCTCGGAATTCCATATTGTTTGCACAAGCATGTGCCCAAATGGAGTTACCGAGGAACAAATCAAGTTGAGGGCTTTTCCATTCTCCCTCAAAGACACGGCTAAGGATTGGCTATTCTATCTCCCTTCAGGGAGTATAGATACATGGGCGTCAATGAAAAAATGCTTCCTAGAAAGGTACTACCCTGCATCCGTCTCATCATCTTTGAAAAAACAAATAAGCAACATCGAGCAAAAAGATGATGAGACATTATATGAATATTGGGAGCGTTTTAAAAAATTGTGTGCTAGTTGCTCATACCATGGTTACACAGAGCAAGACCTCATCCTCTACTTCTATGACGGTCTTGCGGAGCAAGATAGACGCCTGGTGAACGCAGCATCTGGAGGGGGAATTGTCAACAAAACCCCTTCCCAAGCTAGGAATCTCATCTCGGAGTTGGCCGAGAATTCTAGACACTACAATGTGAGGTCATCATCAAAACGAGTCATGGCAGTGGAATCCAACATCTCGTTGGAAAGTCAAGTGGCCGGTTTGACTTCTTTGGTAAAAGATTTCCTTTTAAATCCAAAACACCAAGAAGTCAAGGTCTGCGGCATATGCTCAACACAGGGGCATCCCACCGATTCCTGCCCAGCACTACAAGAAGAGAATTCCGAGCCAGTCAATGCTTTGGGATTTCAAGGCCAAAAGAGGTATGATCCACACTCTAACTCCTACAATCCTGGGTGGAGAGATCACCCGAATTTGAGATATGGGAACCCTCAAAGTCAGCCCTTGCAACCAACTTTCCCAAATCACCAAGGCCAAACGTCAAGCTCAAGTATGTCCACCGAAGACATGATCCGAGCACTCACCTCAAATGTCTCAACCATGCAACAAAACATGGTTCGATTTCAGCATGAGACCAAGTCCAGCATTCAGAATTTGGAAAGCCAAATGAGTCAAATTGCAAATGCCGTAAACCGACTTGAAACAAAGGACTCGGGTAAACTCCCATCTCAAACGGAGCAAAACCCGAGACAACATGTGAATTCTATCATGTTGAGAAGTGGGGCGACGTTGAAAGAGGTAGAAGAGAATGATAAAGAGATTGATGGGGTGGACCCTGAAAAAGTAGTCCCACCGGAGGAGGAGATCACAGAAACCAAGCTCCCCCCACCCTCATCATATGAACCAGTGATCCCGTTTCCTGAGGCGCTGAGGGAGACAAAGAAGCTAGAGAAAGATGCCGACATCTATGAAACCTTCGCAAAGTGTGAGGTAAACATTCCGCTTCTTAAATTAATGAAAAATGTCCCTCGTTTTGCTAAATTTTTAAAAGAATTATGCAAAACAAAAAGAAAAGATAAATTGAAGGGAAAACAAGAGGTTAGAGTTAGTGAACGCGTCTCGGCCATTTTTCAGAGAAAACTCCCCGAAAAATGTAACGACCCAAGCATGTTCACTATTCCTTGCAAAATAGGAGACACCACATTTCCTAAGGCCTTGTTGGATTTAGGGGCATCGATAAATGTCATCCCCTATTCTGTTTATAAATCTCTACAACTTGGCCCATTACCTCAAACCGGTGTAGTGATTCAACTGGCGGATCATTCTACTACTCACCCGAAGGGTGTAATAGAAGATGTGCTAGTAGAAGTAGAAAATATGGTTTTTCCTGTTGACTTCTATGTCCTTGAAATGGGAACTGATGATCAAACAACACCCATCCTTTTGAGTTCGAAGACAAAAATTGACGTTTCTAGTGGTTCCTTAACTTTGGAGTTCGATGACCAAAAAGTGGAATTCAACATCTTGGACTCTACGAAAAAACAAAAGCAAAATCTAACTCTTTGTTCTTTAAATGTTGTTGAACCACAAGAACCGGTATTTTTCAAAGAAGCGGATAAAATCAGATTTTTTCAAGAAGGGACAAATAAACACGAGAAGCCATCTTTGATAAAAAGGGTCGTGTTAAAATGTGAACTAAATCCACCTATGATGGAGGTGGTAGTGAGAAAGAAACCCCGGCCTAACTGGAAAAGGCCAAAAAATAAATTTGAAAAATGGCTAAATAAGGCCACATAATAAACAAGGGATCAGTGACTACAGGCTGATCCCTAGCTTCTAATATGACAAAGTTAAAACACTCGCATATATTATTAACCAACATATCACACTGTGCCGTGGTAGAGAAGTGTGATCTAGACCACTCACTCGGATGCTTAGTGGACACCCACTCATGTGCTTTTTCATCTAATTCTTTCAATTTGGTCATCCCTGTGCTAAAATAGTTCACTGTGATGGCCCTAGCACATGACCATAATGCATTTTTCAATGATGTTCGTTGGAAACCAGCCACTTTCATGTTGGCATGTAAGTGCCTAACACAAAACCTATGATCAGCTCCAGGTAAGACCTCTTTACAAGCTTGAATTAAACCTTTTTGCTTATCAGACATGATAGTGTACCGATGTTCACTCTCCTCGCATATATTCAAATCTGTTTTCAGAATTCTCAAAAACCAAGCCCAAGACTATCTTGTTTCTCCTTCAACTATTGCATATGCAATGGGGAAGATGCTATTGTTCGCATCTATACTCACAACAGTCAGAATTTGACCACCAATGGTAGTCTTCAAGTGACACCCATCAACACCTATTAATGGTCGACAATGTTTGAATCCCTCTTTGCAAGCATCCCAACACATATAAAATCTCAGAAACCTACTTTCATCACTCGAGCCAGTCAAGTCACTTACTTTCACAACACAAGTTGACCTGGGATTAGTCTTATCAATTTCTGCACAATAACTCCAAATCTTTTTGAAGTTATCCTCCTGGTCCCCTTGGATTTGTTTCTTTGCTTTATGGATTGCTCTATAAGCTTGTTTGGTACTCATATGAAATTTTTCTTTGGTACACACTTTCTTTCGAAATTCCTTCATTTTCCAATTGTTGTGGAATTGTATCTCTTTGGACCATCTTTTTGCAACTTTGGTTGAAGTAACCATCTTGTTATGGTAATTCCAACCACACCCTTCATGTTTTTTTGAAAATCTCAATATCCTCCATGATAAAGAATTCTGCACTTTCCTTAGATTTATCATCCAAGGACATTCATCTTTCTTGCACTTCACAATAAATCTAAGAGAATCATTTTTCACAAATTTCAAGTCCTTCCCATTTACAAATGCATAATTATGCAATGCTTCTCTAAATTCTTTCTTACTTGAAAATGTCATACCTACAGAAAATGTTGGATTTTCCATTTCTGTGCTAGGTCTAAAAACAGGCCACCTAACTTTTGAAGTTTTGGCATCACTGTCTGAATCTTCTAAAGAATCATCATCAGATAAGTTGGGATCAGACCAACCTTTTTCTGCAGCAGGTCCAAGAACTAGTTGGTGCTCATCTCTCATCAAACCAGCATATTCAACACTAAAGTCCACATTCTGATCAAACTCAATGTTATCCTGATTACTTTCCTCCATATCATTGTCTAAGAGTTTGTCTAGGTCAGAATGACAATAGTTACAATCACTCTCTTCATCATCTCCACAATCTGATTCTACAAGTGTAAGCATATATTTATAAGAAATTTACAAAACAAATAAAATTAGGTTTTTTTGTTCGAATACGTACCACTTCTTTGAATGATGCTCGTGTCTCTTAAAGGAGAAGAGTAAGCCATTTTTGTTGTTGGAGTTCTGTTTCAGCTTCACATGTTCTTTCCTTCTTCTCGAGCAAAAGAAACGTAAGTTTCAAGTTCAGGAGCGTTTCTTTCTTCTGGCGCAAAAGATGGAGAATTCAATTTTCAGGTGTGCGGGGCTTAACCTTACGCTTCTTATTGTTTAAAGACAAAAGTGACCTCTGAAAAATAGCTTCACCGATGGGTTTGGCCGGATAAATGACCGGAGGACTAAAAGTGTCCAAAATATGATAGTCGTGCACCAAATATGAGACTTTTAAAAGAATAGGATCAAAAGTGAGACTTAGTATATAGTAATAGGATCAAAAGTGTCAAAATTTCTTTGATAATATATCATGAAGTTACATCTTCTTCTGCGCGAGTTACATCTTATTGTACGTGAGTTACATCTTAATATACGCGAGTTACATCTTAATGTATGTGAGTTACACCACGAAATAAACCCTTGCTATATCATTTTTATAGCCTTAATATTAAACATAAAATATATTCACTATTTAAAAAAAGTAATTGAGCAATTAGGATCAATTTTTCATTGTTTTCATTGAAATCAATGTTTATGACATATATATTATTCTCAAACACACACACAAAAAATTGTTCAATTTTTCAACAAGTTACATTCTGTATACATCTAAGTTATATTTGCCATCAATACGAGTTACATTTGTAATAACATTAGTTACATTAAAAAATCAACCCCTGTTATTGAAACAAAAAATATCTTTTTTAAATAATTATTTTCGTAAAGTTACATATTTTTACACTTAAAGTTACATATTTATACACACGAGTTACATATTTATACACACGAGTTGCATTTGACCTGTCTGAACGCGAGTTACATATTTTTTTTTACGTAAAGTTACATATTTTTACGCGTAAAGTTACATATTTTTACACGTAGAGTTATATATGTATACACACGAGTTGCATTTGGCCTGACTGAATGTGCATTTCATATTTTAACACATAAAGTTACATATCTTTTACACGCAAATGTTAATGTGTTAAAATTACATAGGCAATATTGATCTCATTTGAAAGATCATGAAAAATAAAAAAAATTGATATAAATTTTATAAAAATCGGATCAAAAATAAAAAAATTATTAACAATTTTAAGAAAAGGAGAAATAAAAAATAACAAAGGATGCATGGTTATCATGCACTGGTGGTTGTAAGAGACGAGTGGTTGTAATTGTTTTCGGTGGCTGTAACAGACGAGTTAGGGCGGCGTCGGCTGTGAATGGCCCTGAGATTAGGGTGAGGGGCAGGGGAAGAGTTTCCGGCAAGGTCTTGGGCAGGTGCTGGGTTTTGGCAGGTAACTGAAGCAGGGGGAGGGTCTCCGACGGGGCTAATGACAGGTGGTCGTGTGCGGCGGGTTGCTATGGGCTAGTGGGGCAGGGGGCTGGTGAGGCAGGGGTCGGGTTGCTATGGGCTGGTGAGGCAGGGGTCGGGCTGCTGTGGGCTTGTGGGGTAGGGGCAGTGGCAGACCCAGAAAGTCGGAGCTGTCGGATCCCTACCCTTTTATATCTCTAATCTCTAATTAATACCAGTATAAAATTAATAAAAAAATTGATCCAATTCTTCATTTACTAATGGCGAATCATTTGAATTAACACCTGAACTACTCCCGGTACTCTAGGTTTCTTTAAAATTGGGTACAACATCAAAATATCTTTTCATCCTAAATCGTATAAAATAGAAAATAACGTTTATAAATACATGAATTTATTAATTTAATCTAACATTAAAAAAAGATATGCAAAGAAAAGCAGCAGAGGAAAAAAAACGGGTGACTGATGTGCTTATATTTTACACGCTTTTTAGGCTTAGTTTGTTGATAATTTTAGTTATTAAATTGTACTTTTGTATATATTTTTATTATTTGTCGTTAATTTGTATTAGTGCAGTCCTATGCGTGTATTTTGTATTTTCTGTTACATTTGATGTTATTTGGATACATTTGGCGTGAAGAAATGAAGAAAATAAAAGTTCAAGTTGGAGGATAACAAAGTGAAATTTCAATCAAAGAAAATAAGGAGTAAATTGGAGAAAAGTAGCAAAAATTAAAAAAGATGGAGATGGGATTCGAGCTCTAGTAATTTGAAAAAAGGACATACTCAATCAATGACCTAAATGAAACAAGTTGAAGTTTTTGTTGGAAATCCGTATACATTGTTCAAGCCCAACACTGAAAAAAGGAATAAAAGGAAGATGCCGGGTTTCAAACTCGCGACCTCATATTTGGAATTAGCACCCATCACCGCTGCACGGCTCCGTTCTTTTGGCTGTAAGGTCGTTTTTTTAACTTCACACATATTAAAGAAATAAATTTGATTTTACTGTAGAGTACACTGTTTGACACTGTTTGACACTGTTTGTCACTGTTTCGCATTGTTTGGTGTAGAATTGTTTGCCAAATAAAGAAGTTTAAAGTTTAATATGGGACAGCTCAAAAAGAAAAGTGTAAAGTTAATTAAGGACCGGAGAGAGTAATACATACCAAATGCGCATGATTACAAATGATGATCTTCCCCTCGTCTAGAACACCCAAAGTAACAACTAAGTATACATGTACACATTTTTTAACGAATACCTATTCCTAATTTCTCTTGTGCAATGTGCCAACGTGTTGTTTTTTTATCGTAAAAGAGCGGCTTTTATATTAAAAACGAAAACGCATACAAAACAACCTTCAGATAGATTTTACAGATCCAATCGTGAACCCTATGAGTAGACTTAGAGTCGGTCACCTCATACAAAGCAACCTGACTCGCTAAACCTGAAACCCTAAAACGACCGGAACCGAAATCCTGCCTATCAAAAGAACTCCAACCGGAAATAAAAACACAATCAAAACAACATGCAGTTCGAATTAAAAACACAAACAAAATAAAACGGAATTAAAACAGAGTTCACTCGTTTTCTTCCAAACCCTAGATTCTCCAACACTCCATGGCAGCGGTTCAGGAGGGGGACAAGCTAGCAGTATTGTACCTTCTTCCTCACCCTGCCTCTTATTCATCATGTTCTCTGTCAAGCCTCCATGTTCAATTCGCTACAAATTACAAGTGACCTTGAATCCAGATTTGTTCCAGCCTTTAACCCCAATCTTCGCTCATGACCTTCACTGGATGATGTCATCCTCTTGCTATTGTTGTCTTTGCTTCTTGTTCACACCAAGAAACTCATCGGAGGGGTAAATCCCAAACCGAAGAGTCATCCAATCAGGGGCGGACCCAGGAAAGCCATCTTGGGGGAGGTGAAAATATTTTTTGGGGGGTTCAAAATATATTTTGGGAGAGAGAAAATTATTTTTCATATATATACACTAAAAAAAATTCTTGTTGGGGGGGCGGTAGCCCCCTGAGTCTTTACTACGGTCCGCCCCTGCGCCCAATCAAAAAAGATCGTTGGAGAAACTAAAATCCTAACCGGAGGGGAAAACGGCTGCTGAAGACCTAACGTATTAGCGCGGATTTGTGCAATGTGTTGTTTAAACATGTCAAAAGTTGATATTTTTATTTTTTTATGAATTTCATTCCTCGTGATTGAATTTTCTCAATTATCATCCTAAAATTCTTCAATTATCATGAACGGGTACATTGAGTTGCTTATTCTACGGGATTCGACCTATGAAGTACAGTGTTGGGTTGGATACCCTGCTTTGGTAAAGTTACTATAATTAGTGGTGAAAAATGGAAGTAATTATAGGTGTTATTAAATTAAGTAATTGTCCTAAATGGGATTAAAACATTGCTTAAATTCCTAATTAAGACTTCAAGTTTATTATTCCCTAAATGGGATTAAAGATTACAGTTTTTTACCTTTATAACTTAAACTTAGATGTTTGACTCTCTCTATGCCCTCTCCAATCGATCGCCGGTTTCTTCCAATCAACCTCCATGGGCTGGAAGTCTGGAACTCATCCGCCGATAATTCCTTCATCTACTTATCTACCATGGACTACAACTATGTCGTTCACCATTGTTACACACCGTACCACCACAATCTACTGTAATCTTCTTCCCTTCTTCTTCTTTAGCCCAGTCAGGAGGTAATCTTCTTCCCTTGTTCTTTTTCTTCTTCTTCATCTCCTTTTTCTTCTTCTTCTTTTTTCTTCTTCTTCAATTTGAATTTTATTTATTTATTTGAAATCTGAAAATATCAAAATCCCAAGTTTCGTACATGTCTTGCAAACCTTCAATGAGAATGTCAAGAATAATGACATGATGATGGAAGTTTCCTATAAAAACATGACATTCTCAGTTGTAAAAAATATGAATTTTTTAAATGAAAAATAATGGCAATTTAAGGATGAAAATTCTGACATCATTTGAAAAACATGTCAAAAAACATGTCATTTCTAATAACAAGTAGTTATGTCATTCTCAGATAAGTCATAAAAATTCCATAAAATGTCATAACAATAACATTTTCTTATGGACATATGACAATTTCATATTTTCATCTTGATAAATATACTGCCACAAAAATGGCAGTTTATTTCAAATAACCAATGATTTTGACATTCTCATATTATAAAAGTGGAATTTTGCTGAATAAATATAATTCAAATTCCTAAAATCCAAATTAATAAATAAAATTCAAATCCAAAACATTCAAATGTTATACTCCATCCGTCCCGCAGAGAAGTTCTCGGTTTGACCTACATACATATTAAGGAAATAAACTTACCAGGGGTAAATTTCACTGTTTTAACACTTTTTCGACACTGTTTTGCACTGTTGGAAACTGTTTGGCACTGTTTTGATGTAGATAACTTCCCATTTAAAGAAAGAGGAACTTCTTTTTGGGACTGCTAAAAAAGGAAAGCGGGAACTTCTTTGCGGGATGAAGGGAGTATGCGATTAGCAAAAGCATTACTCGTTTTCCAAAAGTATTACTCGTTTCCATTTTTCCAAAAAACTTACTCTAATGTAATTAATTATTGACCGTCATTTAATACTTGCCATTCATCACATCCATACCATTTATTTCCTTTCCAAATCTCAGACCATTCTTCCGCATTCAAGTTAAAAGAAATTAACCTAACCCATTATGCCTTCTTCCTGCATCCAATATGTATCTAAGGCGCCGTTGATAATGTTCGGCCTGCTACTGCTCATCTTCTTCTTCCGCAATTCCAACGCCCACACAACGTACCATTATCAGCTTGTTCACAATCCACAACAATGGTCGAAAACCTAGATTGAATTTGTGGCATTTTATTTCCAAATCGGGGGCGCGCGGTTGACCGGGTTTGCTTGGTATCCGGCTGGGTAAGGCTAGGCGAAGGTTTGGGGCAAGGACGAGTCTGGTTGAATTGGGGTATGGGAGGGCTGGGGGGTTAGGGCGAGGTTGAGGTAGTTATGAGGGGGCTGGGGATAGTGTAGGGAATGGGGTAATTCTGGTGGCCTGGGACTAGAGTGGGACTGTTGGAGGAGGTGCAAGGTTGGTGGGGCTGGTTACTGTGGCCTTCGATGCGCCAGCGGTGGCGGCGGTTTTTCTTTTTGGTGACAGTGGTAAGCGGTATTGAGGGTAGGATTATTGTTTGGTTTGGTTTGCGCTGCAAAGATTGGTAATATGTTTTCAATCAGTTGTGTTACTGGATTGGGCAGTGTAAAGGCCGTTGGGTTAGTCACCAGTTTATTCAGTAGAAGTCACTGAACATGAGTCAATAAAAACAAGTCACTAAATGAGTTTCAGTGACTAAGGTATGCCACTAACTATGGATTGGGGGTGGGTCACTAATGGGGGCGACTAAACCATTGGTGGGGGGTTCGGAGTGATGAAGTCACTAACTAGGCAGTCACTATTGCGGCAGTGGCAATGGCACCTTAACGGTGGTAGTGGAGTCACTTTTGCTTTAGTCACTGGACATGAGTCACTGCAGTGGGAGATTGTCACTAACAGAGTTGTGATTGATTTTTATGGTGACGAAGGCTCCAGTGACTACAGTTGCGACATGAAGTCACATTGGGTTAATGAGTTATCTCGCCATTGGGAGATTTAGTTAGTGATCACGTCATTCACGTGGTCACTAATGGTGACATCATAGGTGCAGGCGGCAGCGGAGGTGCAGGTGACGCCGATGCTTGTGGCGGCAGCGGCGGTGATGGTGGTTCTAGTCATTGTAGTTGCTAGAATGCATGAATTATAAAAATGGAATAAGTGATGTGGTAAGTCACATTTTTTGAAAACATAAAAACAAGCACTCAGTCACTACTAAATTACATTATCCTCTTAAAAAAACAGTCACTACTTCTTACAAATGCATCATATGTTCTCTACCCCTGATTCTATTATGTTTGCTTAAATAAAAAGCCTGAATTTTGTGAGAGTGTTCCATCATCCCGTGCATAATATGCAATACTCAGGCCACTAAAAGCATCAATTATTATCAATACATGCAGTAGTAACTGCTGTGAAAGAGTCACTTGCCATATAAATCTGAGATCTGAGTAATTGATTTTTTTCTTCATCATGCATACTGTCAAATGTCAATCATACATCATTATAACATATCTTAAATCTAAAACCCTCACTGTCACATAACTCAGAGGCTTTCACAAAAAAAATCCTCCCAACATTAACAGTCACTGGGTACGTCATGCATGAAAAGTGCAGGACGTTTCTTCTTGTTGATCGTGAACTGGGTACAACTTGAATCCCAGGGGAGAAATGTTTATGCGGTAATCACTACTCACGTATTAATCACTACTCACGTATAATCCTTTCCTAAATTTGAGGATGTCAGTTACGGATAAATGGTAATATAATATCAATGAAATTATTTCCTTTTTTGCATTATACTCATTAGCGGGGGATGTATACATATTTACAGCCTTTTATTTCGTTGGTCTGTAACTGATCGGGAGTCACATTTTTGGACTTTTTAACCTCTACTCACTTTTTTGGCCATCCGTATCCTAGGAGTAATATTGATAATAAAAGGCCTTACTTAATTAACTATCACACTAGAAACTCAAAATTCGAAAAGATGAGTAGATAAAAATTTCAATATATAAGAAATAAGAAGATTATTCTTTCATTATTCAGAAGAAAAAACATGCAACATATATTGAACTTGTCAGATTATTTTCCCATACCGGACTCAATTTCCGGCAAGGCGATAACCAATATAATTGGCGTTGTTTGCTCATTCACTCGATTATCATTAATGATACTTAATGATAGTTAATGATAATTAATTTTCCCTTTAAATATTGAATTAATATATTGGGAAAGCAAAAAAGATTGCATATGAGATTGCTGCTTGCGTGGCTGGATTTTAGGGATTGCATTTCATTTGGGATTGGGAAAGTCAAAAGAAGGGTGCGCTAATGAGGCCCGCATGTGGCTGTTGTCATATTGTTGGGCTCTCATTACACTTAAAATATAATACTCCCTCCGTATCTATTTACTTATCACACTTTCCTTTTTTGGTGTATCAAATTAATTGTCTCCATTCCTTTGTTGGAAAGAATCTCACTCAAAAAGCAGCTATAGTATCACTACAGTATCGCTACAATATCAAAAACCTCTTACTTTTTATAAAGTCTACAGTAATTGTCTTAAACTCCGTGAAAAGCAAACGGGTCATCTAATTAGATACGGAGGGAGTACTATGAAGTACTATGTATTAATTAATCTTGGGCTTCAATTTTATGGGCTCTGTGCGATCGGGCTGCCATCCCTTTCTTTGGGCTGGGCCTGCTCGTTATGGGTTCATTGGTCCATGGCAAATGATGTCACGAAAATTGTTAGTTTAAATAATAGAATTAGAACAATATCATAATGTTCATATAATATACTCTCTTAGCTTTGTCCTATAAAATTTGCCAAATTTTATCTTGCTTGTGGAATAATGAAACAAAAACTGTGTTATTGAGATTAGTGCAGAGAAAAGACAAATCACTTTAATCACATACGGAATATTTCTTAGTTTGAATAGAATTGCAAACTTTTTTGGGATGTCGACATAAGGAAATTTCGCAAAATTTGTGGGACAGAGGGATAATGAGATTGTACAATGTTTAACCACAAATGCATGGAAACAATACAAGTGGGACGTTATGCTCATCTTCACTCTCATTAGACCTTTTGCTCACCTGAGGAGGAGCAATGTGACCATCAGAGAAAAGAGAATTTGGCTCGATATCCTTCTGCCCTACATCATATTCATCAGGGCCATATACCGTAGGGCTGTGATGGTTGTTTCTCTCCTTCCTATTTGCATCGCTTCTTTCGACAGCAAGAAAATGGCCGAGAGATGCGGCGGTCGTGTGGCTTCTGATGGAAGTCATGTCAGCTGCATCAGTGCTCTTTGTAGGGCACATTGAGAAACGGCTACTCCTCCAGTTGTGCTTCTTGTCCACTGTTTCTATCACAGTTTCTCTTGTTGATCTTCTTGAAAGGTTCATAATTCTTGTAACCCCAATTAGGGTTCCTAGTGTTGTGCTCTTGTCTAGGAAGAATGATGATCCTGTTGACTGCATTTTGATCCCAATGGTTATTTGAATGTATGTGATAATATAATGTTGGGTTGATCAAGTTAAACCTAACTGATCACATCCTCCTCAAACACTACAAACAATTTGCCATTTACCAACAGTAATTTATACCAACAGACTTTTATTGTTGGTATAGGATAGCTATACCAACGGTTAATCTTTTCCATTGGTTATTACAATATCAATTCCAACGACTAGTTTATATTGTTGGTATATGTTAAGCATTTCTTATATTAAAATCATATCCGTAGGTATATTGTTAGAATATACCAACAACTATTATTAAAAATGTAAGTAAAAATTTTCAAAAAAATGTAAGTGAAAAATGATTATTAAATTTAGAAAAGTAAGTGAGAATTCCATAAAAGGCTGGCTGGGCTGGGCTGGAGCTTAGATTCCAAGAGTTAAAATACAGTCCATAGTCCGTAATATGGGTTGGAGCTTAGATTCCAAATCCTACGAAAAAATAAATTGAAAATCAAAAGTTGATCTAAATTCCAAATCCTAAAACTCATTCACAGCTTACTTGTACAGTGCAAACTTCAATCGTCTAATTGGCCGGCCGTTCATCGCGACACTGGTTCAACTTCTCAACAAAAATGAGATCTATTTTTAATTGAGACTCTAGTGCAAGTTTAAGATCCCTATTTTTAATTGGGTATCTAATTGGCCGGCCGTTCATCCCTAATCATTCCAAATCTGAAACATCGCTCTACTGTTTGTAACTCGCAGCTTGTCGATTCAGCCATGGATTAGCAGCAGCCAGCAGATCAGTTGTGCAGCTTCTGAACGTCGTATCTTCATCTTTAAGGTATGGATTCCATGATTATATTTCGCGTTTTGATTTAATTTTGAGACGATCGATCATGGTGGCTTGAAGATGATATTCTAGCGGCTTCCATGCGGAGGGTAGTTCACCTGCAGGAGAGCTATTCTAATTGGGACTTGCTGACTGCCTTATGTGTGGCTCCATAGTTGATTGGGAGCCAATTGAGCCACCTGCAGAACCAATTGGAGCCTGAAATGGAAATTAAAATTTGATTTCAAAAGCAACAATTTCTTTCCTGAACGGGCTGATTTAATGTTTAATGTGGTTTTTAGTTTGTTTGACAATTTTGGAGCTCTTTAATTTTTATTCAGAAGAATGGTATGAATGCCTTGCTGCTACCCTTTTATATTTTTGATAAAAATTATGCCATTTTGTACGTAGTTTCGTTGGGTAAAAAAAATATAATAAAACAGAATCAAAACCGAAGACATCATTCACTACTGCTCCAACGAGTTTTACTGTCTCGTATTTTTGCTTTTGGTCATTTTCCGTTTCCCAAACGCGAATTTGTTTCTTAGTATTAAGCTTTTTCTTCTGCCTAGTGTTAATCACAAAGCTGCCATTCTGAGTAGCCTTAGCTTACCCTAACTCTCTGCAATGTCTTCTTTATTGTATGCCTCCTCTTTATGGACATGGCTGCAGGTCGCTCAAGTAAGTTCTTCTTCGCCAACCTTTTCCCTTTCAATTTTTTTCCCCAACTTTATCTTGTATAGTGTATACATCATTTGTCACAATGGAATGAACAAAGAAAATGACAGAAGAAATACTATTTCCTTCTTCTGCTTTCCAATCATTCCTCTAAATATTTAAGTGGAAAACAAAAAAGAATACTGATCCTATAAAGAATATTGAGCAATATTTGTATTATTAAGGAATATTATTTACTCCAAGTCTTCAAATAGATTTGAAACATAATTAAATTTCCTTCTTGTTCTTATTTGCTTTCACTTTAATCCTTTAGTATGAAGTCTTCACCTTATATTAATAACATTGTTATTTTATACGAATTAGATGGATAAAACATGGATAGGTCTAACATCAAGAGTTAGCGCGGAATACATTAATGGGGTCAACGAATTTCTAGATTTTGCCTTTGCTAGATCCGCTGAAGATGGGAAGATTCGTTGTCCTTGTGTCATTTGTGTCAACACTTATAAAGTGTCTAGGGAAACAGCACTCGATCACTTAATATGTGATGGTTTTCTTAAAGGATATACTCGATGGGTTTTTCATGGTGAGGTATTCGAGGAAACTACTTCTACCGCACATACCCATATAGATGACGACATAAATCATGAAATTCATGACTTGTTGCATGATATGGTGCCTAACTTTGAAATGAATGTAGACTTTGAAGGCTTACACTCCGGTAATGATGATGTCGATCAGTCTAGACATAAAATTGATAGTGACAAGTTCTACAATTTACTCAAAGATGCAGACGTGGAGTTATATCCAAATTGCAAGAGCTTTTCAAAGTTATCATTTGTCATCCATTTATTTCACATCAAGTGTTTTAATGGATGGACAAATAACTCCATGAGTATGCTCTTAAAGATTCTAAAACTCACTCTTCCAGAAGGAAATACAATGCCAGAGTCCTACCGTGAAATGAAAAAGATGATTAGTGGCTTGAGTTTGGGGTATGAAAAAATTCATGCATGTCCCAATAACTGCATTCTGTACTGGAAGGATAAGGAAAAAGAAGAAATTTGCCACAAGTGTGGTGCATCTAGGTGGAAGGAATGTGTAAATGAGGGTGAAGACACTTTTGTGAAAAGGAAGAAAAAACCTGCAAAGATATTGCGTTGGTTTCCTTTAATTCCAAGACTCCAGAGGTTATTTATGTCATCTAAAACTGCTCTTTCAATGAGATGGCATGATGAGGAACGCACAAAAGATGGTCGACAAAGGCATCCTGCAGATTCTCTTGCTTGGAAGCACCTTGATTCTCTTAACCCACAATTTGCTTCCGATGCTCGTAATGTTCGTTTGGGACTTGCTTCTGATGGGTTTAATCCCTTCAAATCGATAAATATAAGCCACAGTACTTGGCCCGTTGTACTCATTCCTTATAATCTTCCTCCATGGATGTGTATGAAACAACCCAATTTCATAATATCCTTACTTATTCCTGGTCCAAAAGGTCCTGGGAATGATTTGGATGTGTTCATGCAACCTTTACTTGATGAATTACGTGAACTTTGGCAAGTTGGTGTTGAGACATATGATGTGTCTATGAAGCAAAAGTTTAAGATGCGTGCAGCTTTGCTTTGGACTATTAATGACTTTCCAGCATATGCTAATTTGTCTGGATGGAGTACGAAGGGAAAGTATGCATGCCCTTGTTGTGGATATGATACTGAATCAAAATGGCTAAAAAATGGTGGAAAGTTTTGCTACACGGGACACCGTAGATGGCTGGAAAGTAATCATCGATTTAGGAAGGATAAATATTCTTTTGATGGGAATTGTGAGTTTAGAATGGCCCCTTTATCACCATCTGGCGATGAAGTGTTAAGACAATTAGAAGACTTGGATGCTAATGTAGGTGGACCATGGAAGAAGAAGAGTATTTTATTCACATTACCATACTGGAAGGATCTTCTACTACGCCACAATCTCGATGTTATGCATATTGAGAAAAATGTTTGTGATAACATTTTTGGTACACTAATAGGGCAAGAGAGAAAGACAAAGGACAATTATAAAGCACGCCTTGATCTCGTTGACATGGGTATAAGGAGTATTCTTCATCCAAAGACTCGTCCCGGAGGCAACACAAAGTACTTACCGCAAGCATCTTATCAAATGAATGTGGTTGAAAAAAATGCTTTCTTGAAAATTCTTAAGGAAATGAGAACTCCAGATGAATACTCTTCCAATATTTCCCGTTGTGTGCAAGTTAAAGAAAGAAAGTTAATTGGTCTTAAGAGTTATGATTGTCATCTTTTAATGCAAGAGTTTCTTCCTGTGGCAATACGATGGTGCTTGCCAGAGAAGGTGTGCTCCGTCTTAATTGACTTGTGCAATTTTTTTCAATTTATTTGTTCCAAAGTTTTAGAACAAGCCACCCTTGAAGTAATGGAGTCTGAAGCTGCTTTAATCCTTTGTGAAATGGAAAAAATCTTTCCTCCTTCATTCTTCACGGTAATGGTACATCTAGTGATGCATTTAGTGCATGAAGCCAAAGTCGGTGGCCCAGTAGTATACCGTTGGATGTATCCCATTGAAAGGTGATATCTAAATCCTTATTATCTTTTAATTGTCTTATTTAATATCATATGGTTGTTAACGTAGTTAAGTTTAATGTTGTTAACAGGTTTCTTCTTACCCTTAAGTCTTACGTTGGTAATAGAGCTCATCCAGAGGGTTCTATTGCAGAAGGGTTTTTAGCAAATGAGTGTTTAACTTTTTGTTCAAGATACTTGGAGGGGGTTGAAACGAGTTTCAATCAATCTCGCCGGAATGAAGAAGGTGAAATCTTATTTGATGGAGATGTATCAATTTTTAATCACGTTGGAAGACCACTTGGGAGGACAAAACATAAGGGGTTCAATGTTAATAAGAGAAAGAGGGTATCACGTGTTGAACTTGACAAATTATCTTTGACACAAGCACATAGATATGTGCTTTTTAATCATGATGCAGTAGCTCCGTTGTTAAGGTATGAACTTGAAACCTTAATCCTATATGAAAGTTTCTTATACTTATTTCTAAGTTTAAGGAAATTGTTGTTGTAGAAAACATGAAGAGCATCTTCGGAGAAGACATCGTTCCCCTCGTCTTTCAGCTTATGAGTTGCAAAAGCTTCATAGTGAAACTTTTCATAGTTGGTTTCATGATCATGTAAGTGAAATTTTATTTACCAATTGCAGCATGTACAACTTCTTAATCATTCAGTTAATTAACTTATACTGCTTATGAAAATCTATAGGTTGCGAATTTAGAAAATCAAGGAAATGCATTCGTCACGGATGAGCTTAGATTTCTTTCACGTGGTCCCCTTGATACAGTTAGAAGATTCACTGGTTATGTTGTAAATGGCTTCCGGTTCCACACTAAAGCACGCGAGAAGTGGTTAAAAACTCAGAATAGTGGGATTTTAGTGTCATCAAGAACAACAAGTTATGCAAGTTCAAGAGATGCA